CCTGTTATCTTGGGTTTCTTTGGGACGGGGATGATGGTGGAACGTTTGAAGCAGGCAGGGACTTCGCACAGCTCCAGTGATCTGTTGAAGATCTGTGAGAAGATTGGGGCCAGCTGGTCAGCGCAGGTTTTCAGACAGGCTTGGGCCTGGTGCTTTTCTTCTCTTGTTCTTTCTGAAGACCTGGCACACATCATCCTCACTGATCTGAAACGTAGGAGTGGGGGGGGGGGGGGTTGCAGGGAGTGTTGGTTGTGTGGAGAGATGTTCAGAGCGGGTGTGGCGTGTTAGACTGGGAGTTTCAAATCTACAGTAAAACTCATTCAGGTCTTCAGCAAGTTGTTGATTGGCCTCAGTGCTGGGGGATGGTGTCTTGTAGTTGGTGATGTCTTTCAGGCCTTTCCACACTGATGCAGGCTCATTGGCAGAAAACTGGCAGAAAAAGTTCGCCAGATGGATGCTAGGCAGCGCCGTTCTGAATCCGCGCTTCCTGAGCTTCACGAGTGCACCGGCTCACTTCCCCGTCTGCGCGTCCTGAAGCGCTTGATCAGCGCAGCTGCGCTGCCAACTACAACATTCAGCAAAATGTCCGAAAAAACTAAATCCGGTAGAAGATTGTGTGGTGTGCTCTGCCGAATGTTCAGCAGCTCATCCCTGGTAAAACTGATCATGTTTGAGAAACAAAAAACAGGAAAGACTAACAAAAACAATAATAGGCTATTGAAAATAGCCTATTACTGCTAAATTATGATGTTTTCTGATGTAAATATCTTGATAACATTATAAGTGGACCTCAGAGAACAGCACAAAATAAAAACAAAGGCAGTGCATGACCCCTTTCGTCATGTCTCCTTCAGTTCGACGGAGCAGATGAACTCCTGGATCGGCCGGATTAACCTGGTGTCTGCGCTGTACTCCTCTCCTCCGTTCCCCGCTGCTGTCGGCTCTCAGAAGAAGTTCTGTCGGCCGATCCTGCCCGCCACACAGTCCAGCCTCATGCTGGTAAGAGCTTTCTCTGTCCGAGAGGATCTAACCCATCAGTCAGCAGGTGTGGGTGGACATGATTTACGACAATTTAAACTTGTTTGTGGTGGACAGTATCACTGAATACACAAAAACGTTTAGCCTAACTACTGTATATTAGTGTCTGTCCACACCAAAGGACAGTAATGTCAGTGTGTAGCGAGACAGTAGCTTCATTAACCCTTGTGCGTCAATTAAAAAAAGTTACACATAGGTCCATAGTGGACAAAACGTCCATGTCAAAAAATTGTCATAAAAATTTGACGCTTGGGAGCACAGAGTTAAGTTTGGTTTCATTTTAAAGAAGACCCATGGCAGATTATTGTTGAAGTACAAAAAAGTTTAAAAAGGGAAACCAAAAAAAAAGTTCTAGATGTTTAGGTTTATGAAAATGATTTATGAACAATGTTTTATATAAATTATATATTTTATGAAACATGTTGAACTCTATACCTGCAAGAAAATCAAAGCCGTAAATCTAAACAAGTTGTATTCCAAATTTGAGGTTGAAATCACAAAAAATGAGCTTTCAGTAAGATTTTGTTCGGGCGCAGTACCAAATTTTCCCCATTAGATGCCAGCAAAACTCCGCTGGTGCACACAGTGGTTGGATTTGTGATTTGCAATAGAGTTTTTCTCTCTCAAATATTACAAGAACACACACGCACACAATTTTTTATTTATTTTATACATACAAATCGCACTCTGACATCCATACCAACACACCCACACAATTATAGCTGCATTATTTATCCAATTGGCTCTATAATATGCAGAAGCAGAAAACAGAAATAAAGCGAGTATTTTCTTTATAGGTCAAACCTGAAAAAATGACAAATCTTCAATGGCACCATCCTTAAGGTCCTGAGAGGAACAATTTTTTGTACCTAGTGCAAAACAGATTTATTAAAGGAAATGGAAGTGAAATAGTAAAATTCCAAAAAAAATAGACACCTGTGCCAAAATTTATGCATTTGGCAATAACACAGGCAAAATGATAAAAAAAAAAAATGTAAAGGACAAAAAAGTCCAAAAGGTTCCAAAAAAAATAGACACCTGTGCCAAAATTTATGCATTTGGCAATAACACAGGCAAAATGATAAAAAAAAAAAACTGTAAAGGACAAAAATGTCCAAAAGGTCGCACAAGGGTTAAGCATCCAGGTCTCGTTAGGGCATTTGCATCTGTTATTGTTTCCATCAGGAGAAACAGCTGCAGTCGCACGCCGCCATGCTGCACAGCTTCCAGCAGGACCTGACGTCTCTCCAGCAGGAGGCGCCGGAGAGCAGGAGCAGCAAAGCCCGGGAGCTGGAGGAGCTCCGGCAGAGAGAGGAGTACTTACAGTACGAGGTGCGTGTTTGGCAAACCCTTCTCATAACACATAAGTCACTCACAAACTCTAGGGGCCGGATGTGTAAATGACACACACACACACACACACACACACACACACACACACACGCACACACACGCACACACACACACACACACACACACACACACGCCCACACGAACACACACACACACGACTAGTGAGCTAAAAGTATCGGCAATGGGCTGACAATCACAGACGCTCTAAAACAAGTCTTCATATCCTAAAACATTATGCATCTGGTGGATAGTTCACCCAAAAATGTGAATTCTGTCATCATTTACTCACCCTCATGTTGTTCCATGATGACAGAGTTTTCTTATTTGGGTGAACTATCTAGTTTAAGTATTTTAGATAGTGATCATGGACATTTTTAGCAGTGTAATGTTTACAGTCAGTATTATCTCTTGATTTGCTAGTTGTTAGTACTGTTGAAAGCAGAAGTAACACCTGTCTGGATATAATATGCAGATGATAAAAACAGCATTTCCTGATCATTTCTGGATAGGAAATAGAGCTTTTGTATTCTCCATTATTCTGGTGCATGTGCAGATCTGGCGTACATAGAGTTTCAAACATTTTCATAAAGAATGATGTCTAGAAATGAACGTTTTTAACCTTTAATATGTCGTATCATGCTGTAAGTCGGTTTAATTTCACTGTAAATGGTGTGAGTAAAGAGTTGTTTTCTGCTGGTTTTCACAGAAATCTCGTTACGAAGTCTATCTGAAGGTTCTGGAGGCCTGGCAAGTGCTGGAGAAGTCTGGTTCATCGGTCGCTGACAGACTGAGCACACTCGATGAGGGATTGTGGAGCGGATCGATGGATGACCAGCAGGACGAGGCTGACGCCGGGATCAAGCGATCTCACTCCAGTCCGTCTCTGGAGATAGAAACACCTCTTCAGCCTGTCATCAAAGTTAGACGCAACATCTCCGAGAGACGGACCTACCGAAAGATCGTGATTCCCCACCGGAACAAAGAGCTTTGAACAATCAGACTCTTACACAAACTGTCAGACACACTCAAAGCACTTGAATCCTTTAAGGTTTTACATAATTTAATGTATTTTTAAAGTCAGGCCCGTTCAAGATAAAAACAGCAACAACTGTAGTCTTTTTATATGCATAATTTTTGCACAATACACTTATTAATTGACCCTGTTCATACTGTCCACAAGAGGGAGATGTTGCTCAAGATGTTTAAATGAAGGACAAGACCCAAGTCATTAGTTCTGTCCTCACATCTCAAAAGAGTTTCTGGATGAATGTGTGGTCAGCAGAGCCATAGTAAACAGAGTGAAGACTGGAACGGTGTGTGTGTTTCTCTGTGGGAAAGCCTCACATTAGTGCTGTCATTCAGAAACATTTTCCTCTGATAGCACAGCTGCTGAATGGCTCTTGTGTATCAAGGGTTTGTGAATATTTGATATCCTTTCATTTAAACAACAGCCCGTCATTAAGCTCAGATGCTGAGGATGTGTTTGATGGATTGTGCCTTCAGGCTCAGGATGTGTCGCTTGATAAAGATCTGAAAAGCCAATATCAGATAATGCCGCCTGTTGACACGTAAACAGATTGTGAGGAAAAACAATCAAACTGTCAGTGAGTCACTTATAGCAAGACTTCTGCTCTCACACCGCATTATGGAGCTCCAATGTAAATACAAATGTGCTCTAAATATGGCGATTTGAAATCCTGCGGCCGCTGGATAGAATTATGTTTAAGAAACCTACATGGACACACTCACAGAGTGTCACGAAGTACTGCAGAAATTGAGAACGTGTGTTATTTTGAAGCGTGCACAGTCCAGCTTTTTTCAGCATTGCGTCTGAAGCTCTTGTGTTTGCTCCGCCGGTGGCGTGAGGTCATGACCAAACTCAGAGCTGGAGCCACGGAGCGTGACGTCTGCGCTGTTCCTGGAGTGAGCTCAAGTTTTTATTCCTGCATGTCTGTCTGGCTGAAGGGTTTGTGGCTGCTTGTCAGGCCTGGTTGAGTAATTAAAAAGGCAAGCGGAGGCTTTTCTTCATTAAGGGTCCTAAGCAGCACTCGTCGCTCTCGTTCTTGCTTGATCGGTCACAGAAATACCTCTGGTTTGGATGGTGGCTGCTCTTCTCACTCATTCTCCATCTGCTCCGGCGCTCCTCATCGCTCCCCTGTGTTCATCTCCTGATGTTTGTTGGAGGTCGGTTCTCTTCCCAGATGGAGAGATGTGAGAGACGGTAAAAGCAAAGACCATTTTAAAGACCACTGTGATTTTGCCACTTTACCTCTGTGAGCCAGTTCTGTTGGCACAGGTATCGTTTCTATTCATCCGTCCATCTCACACTTTACAGTGGGTTTGTTGTCTTGTGTGTGTCATGTTAAGAAATGATCCATACTGATCAGATGTTCCCAGTTTAGATGAGGATTCATATGTGGGTTAAATGCAAACTTTGTTTGGGTTCTTTCACATCTGTGAGTATTTCTTTCACTCACAGACATTGAGCAAATGCTGATTCTGTCCCTCTCAAGCAGACTTTTATTTGTGTTGGTTTCTGCTAAAGTGGCCCGGGGTGTCTCAGTCGGTGACCTGAGTTTGGCCTGAAGACAATAACGGGCTCCGTGCTTCATACCTGGGGAGTGAAGCGAGCTAAATCTTCCACCCTCAATACCACGACTGAGGTGAGACCCCTGAGCAAGAACCGAATCCCCGATGGCTGCCCACTGCTCCGGGTGTGTGTTCACTGCTGTGTGTGTGTTCACTGCTGTGTGTGTGTGTGTGTGTGTGTTCTTCACTGTGTGTTCACGGTGTGTGTGTGTTCTTTACTGTGTGTGTTCTTTACTGCTGTGTGTGTTCACGGTGTGTGTGTGTGTGTTCTTTACTGTGTGTGTGTGTGTGTGTTCACTGCTGTGTGTGTGTGTGTGTTCTTCACTGTGTGTTCACGGTGTGTGTGTGTTCTTTACTGTGTGTGTTCTTTACTGCTGTGTGTGTTCACGGTGTGTGTGTGTGTGTTCTTTACTGTGTGTGTGTGTGTGTGTTCACTGCTGTGTGTGTTCTTTACTGTGTGTGTGTTCACTGCTGTGTGTGTGTGTGTGTTCTTCACTGTGTGTTCACGGTGTGTGTGTGTTCTTTACTGTGTGTGTGTTCACGGTGTGTGTGTGTTCACGGTGTGTGTGTGTTCACGGTGTGTGTGTGTTCACGGTGTGTGTGTGTTCACGGTGTGTGTGTGTTCACGGTGTGTGTGTGTTCACGGTGTGTGTGTGTTCACGGTGTGTGTGTGTTCACGGTGTGTGTGTGTTCACGGTGTGTGTGTGTTCACGGTGTGTGTGTGTTCACGGTGTGTGTGTGTTCACTGCTGTGTGTGTGCACTTGGATGGGTTAAATGCAGAGCACATATTCTGAGTATGGGTCACCATACTTGGCCACACATCATGTCACTTCACTAAATGTCTGCGAGATGCGTCCTGTGTGTTCAGATGATGTACATCTTGATCTACTGAAGCACAATTTGTCCTGTTCAGCACTGTATGCATCAAAATAATTCTGGGTCATTCTCAGATAATGGTGCCATTTGGGACTGAAAATGTATTTGAAAATATGATTTTTCCCCCACATAGTACCAGCTCTGTACCTGCCATATTACTCAATAAAAAGTTTATTTTTATTATTATTACTTTTTAGATGGCAGATTCTTAAAATGATGACTCTGCTTAAAATATAAAATAGGTCTTTAAAATCAGGTAGTATAGCTCCTTTCAACACCAAACATTATAACTGACAAAGAATATATGAATATATGACTTGAGACCCGGCGTCCAGGCCAATGGAAATCACGTTTCTTTTTTTCTTTTGTCATTGGTGCCAAATGGTGCATAACGGCCTCTGACACAAAGTAGATAAATATGGCATACTTCTTACTATTAGATCTTAAAACACAACAACAGCACTGACTGCTGTAAAGTGAAGCTGAGAGATCAAACAAATCCTATCATATTGCAGTTACATTTACTGTATTACACAGGAACTTTTACTTTGCACAGCAAATTCAGTAAAGATCTCTAGTGTCTGCTACTGCGACGCAGGTCATCCCACTTCAACCTTTCATCTAAACTTGCTAGCAATGCTTCATGCATTATGAACTGGATATTTGGTATTGAAAACTGGAACTGTTATCCTGTCCATGCATCCGACGGCTGACAATAAAACTATATCAATACTGAATTATAGCTATTTTATAAATATTTTTAAAAATCACATTTGATTTTTTTTTTTACAAATGTTAAATAACAACAAAATCTACAATATTTGTATCAACTTCGTTGTAATTTAGAATCATTTTGTAATAGCTCATAGCCCATATATAAAAATTATACAGCATACAATTATACAAAATTATTTGGACTGATTGTCTTATTTTGAGGCATTTAGAGTAAAAATAAAGCATGGTCCTATTTTATTTATTTTTTTACTTTTTATTATTTTTCTGAAAATGTAAAAGGAGAAATTCCTGACTTGCTTAAAATCAGACATCTGAATCAATATAAGATCCGTGTCCTGGCGGTGGTTTGAATGGTCTTGTTCCTCGAAGGCTCAGTTTAATGCCTCACGATCAGTGTGTGTAAATGTTACTGTGTTCTCTGAAAACAGCACTGGGGTTCATTTATTTTTCATAATAAACTATTCCTGTAATTCTATAAAGTTTAGAAAAGAGCAAATGTTTTGGCTGCTTAAAGTTTCACTTTACAGATGATTCATCAGCGATTGTTCTGTTTTGGTCAACCTAAGTTAAACTCATAGAAATGTTTGTTTAGTGAACAGTGTGATTTCTGTGTGAATTTGGCCAAATCCAGTGAAAAAATGCATGACATGGAAACGGAGGAAATCCCTGCGTTGCTTTTACACACGTTTGCTTGATGAACCTGTAGGCATTTATGTGTGCTCTTGAGGAATGCTGTCTGCTCCACATGAACCAAACGCACTAGCCAATACAATAAGCTCAACAGAAATGATCACTAATTAATTGGTATTGAAAAGGCTGCAAATTTGATGTCATAAACTGACAGTGTTTGCTGCTGAAATCAATTAATGAGGCTGGTGGGTTCATTCACCCGATCTAGGTTAAGTGCTCCGTCAAAGCTACAGTGACCCGCTTGAGGAAGAACGGCCTCATGATGTCAGCGGACACGGCTCTTGGTTCATTTTGGCATTCCGGCCATTCTGGAGGAGACTTGGAGTTTGTTGTTGACTACAGGTTTCCGGGTGTAAACGTTTAGTCTCTCTTTGAAACACACGTGAAGTGTATTAGCACAGCAACAGCGAGCTGCGTTTTGGCCGGAGCTCCTGAAGGGCCCCTGTCTGCCTGTGTTTTGGCTCCTGTGATGATCGTAACACATGCCCTCTTCCAGGGGCCTTGTCCTCTCTCAGCGGTTCCAGCCCGCTGACCGTATTGTGCTGCCGGACTCATTACTGGCAAACCCACAGCCGAGCGCCATGCTAATAGGCCTGAGGGAGGGCTGACGGTGTGAATGAGGCACAAATACAGAAAGAGGCTGTTAAAAGAGACGGAGGAAGCATTCTCATTGCCTTTATGGCCACATTCTTGTTTTTCTCCTTCTCTTTGGATTTCAGCAGCATCAAGGTTTGATAGTTGCTGTCATTACGCAGCGGGCAGGAGCCCAGTTGGCATCGCTGGCAGGCATTTTTTGAGGTTGATGACAGGAGGGGATTTTGTGTCATTTTTGCCACCATGAAAGGCATTCACACGCACATGTACACGCACACGCACACGCACACGTACACGCACACGCACACGCACACGCACGCACACATTTTTGTTCCTGGTTGTTAGTTTCTGCGTGCTTGAACACAGAAGTTTAAATGTTTTCAGTCAGTGCATTTACATGCACATCAATACAACACCACTAAAAATAGCTCATTGTATAAACTTGATAAAGCTTTTACGTGAGGTTTGAAATTACAGAGTTTTTCCTCCGGTTTTGACGTTGCATGCGCAGAAGAATCAGAGCAGCGCTGAAGGTGCAGAGCGGAATCAGAGGGATTTGCCAAAATGTGTGGCGATCGGTTTATACTTTAGTTAAGTACGGCATTTAGTTTACATGTATTCGGGTTATGGGTAATTTATTTATGTGATGAACAAGGTAAAGAGTGAATTCGGCCGAAAACTAAATTTGAAAAATAGGTTACAGCTTATTTATTATTTAAAAATAAAACTTCTTTATTTCAGCGATCGTAAAGTCGTCTTTTATTTTGTGCGTTGGGTGATGAGTGATACAGGACTCTACTTTAACAGTTTTGAAAATATGCACCTGGGAGTGTTAGGTATAATATTTTGTTTCCATGCCCTAGTTGTGATTTTTTTTTACCCCCCGTGATTTGTGTTTCTCAAACTTTAATATTTCCATTTTTTTTGGGCCTTGTCCTATCTCAGCGGTTCCAGCCCGCCGACCGTATTGTGCTGCCGGACTCATTACTGGCAAACCCACAGCCGAGCGCCATGCTAACAGGCCTGAGGGAGGGCTGACGGTGTGAATGAGGCACAAATACAGAAAGAGGCTGTTAAAAGAGACGGAGGAAGCATTATCATTGCCTTTATGGCCACATTCTTGTTTTTCTCCTTCTCTTTGGATTTCAGCAGCATCAAGGTTTGATAGTTGCTGTCATTACGCAGCGGGCAGGAGCCCAGTTGGCATCGCTGGCAGGCATTTTTTGAGGTTGATGACAGGAGGGGATTTTGTGTCATTTTTGCCACCATGAAAGGCATTCACACGCACATGTACACGCACACGCACACGTACACGCACACGCACACGCACACGCACGCACACATTTTTGTTCCTGGTTGTTAGTTTCTGCGTGCTTGAACACAGAAGTTTAAATGTTTTCAGTCAGTGCATTTACATGCACATCAATACAACACCACTAAAAATAGCTCATTGTATAAACTTGATAAAGCTTTTACGTGAGGTTTGAAATTACAGAGTTTTTCCTCCGGTTTTGACGTTGCATGCGCAGAAGAATCAGAGCAGCGCTGAAGGTGCAGAGCGGAATCAGAGGGATTTGCCAAAATGTGTGGCGATCGGTTTATACTTTAGTTAAGTACGGCATTTAGTTTACATGTATTCGGGTTATGGGTAATTTATTTATGTGATGAACAAGGTAAAGAGTGAATTCGGCCGAAAACTAAATTTGAAAAATAGGTTACAGCTTATTTATTATTTAAAAATAAAACTTCTTTATTTCAGCGATCGTAAAGTCGTCTTTTATTTTGTGCGTTGGGTGATGAGTGATACAGGACTCTACTTTAACAGTTTTGAAAATATGCACCTGGGAGTGTTAGGTATAATATTTTGTTTCCATGCCCTAGTTGTGATTTTTTTTACCCCCCGTGATTTGTGTTTCTCAAACTTTAATATTTCCATTTTTTTTATTTAATATTTCCATTGTTTACAGTCTTCATCTTATCCAAGTACGAGCGCATTCTCAGTGTGCTAGGCCTAATAAAATGTAGGCTACTTGTTCTACATTCTCTTAGTGCACACTCTAATTCAAAATGCTGAACATATAACTTAAGTCAATATAAATAAATAAAAATGTGTGTGTGTGTTACTCTCCCACTGGTGGCAAATTGTTGGTCTATCTTTGTGGTTCCAAGTTTAGATGAAAACTTTGGCTGATCGCAAAATAAATGATAAACCAGAAGCACCATGCAGAGCACTGTGACGCGAGTGTGTGATAGTACAGCTGTAGTTTCCCAATGTTAAGCTGATGTTATTAACTCTCCGCTTGCCCCTACATTCAGAACTAATTCGAAAGCATTCGTTTGCGCTCATTCATCATGCGATCCAGGTGGGCTGCGGCACCGGCGAACCGTGGCCTTGTTAAAGAGCCATTATAATGAGGCCACAAAGAGGAGAGAAATAATTGCAAATAAAAATAGGTGATGCAGAAAATAAAAAAGGAAATTAAACAGATGCGCATGTTTTCAGGATCATTGCTTTCGTCCCTTTCATGTGTTCAGTTAAACCGCTGACTGGCGAAAAATATGCAACATAATAAATGATGGTTTTCAACAGAAAGATAGTAGAAACACCATAATCATCACCGCCAGCTACCCTAGTCTAGCAGCAGGCTATGTTATAGCCCTATATAAAAGTTTGATCTATTTAAGAATAATCATTCGAGCTGTTTGCTCTTGTATTCTGACAGTACGGAATATATAATTACGCTTATTATTATTATTGTACAAGACAGGAAAAAGAGGAAAACACATGATTGTAGTTTGTCATGCTTTATTTAATTCAAAATAATTCTGTAGAAATTATTAATTTACATTTGAATAATATAATTAACAGTACAATAAAACGTAATCTCTGAAACTCAAAACTCGTTTAATCACAGAAATATAAACATGATAATAAGCTGGAAAAAATAGAAGCGAGAATAGAAACATTTTAAAACGAATGAATCCCCACATGGTTCAGCCCTAATAATCATGTAGAATATAAATTAATTGAATTTTAATAGGGGTTTCCTTCTCTGCATTATTTACACATTTCCTCAAATCATCAAACTTATGTAATGGTTGGGACTGAATATGCTGTTTCTGAATATGATGTCTTTGATAGTCGTTTATTGATTTGTTGGACGATGGTGGAATACGGCACATTGAAGAGAGAAATGTCCGCTGGTATAGATAAAATGTTATTTCTATCTCCTTTAAATATCTGCTGTATGAATATCGATAAAGCCGATCCGAGATCAATTCATTCATTGAAAACAAGCAGTGAAACAGAGGAAGTGTCTCATAGAATACTTTATAACCTTTTAATTTCTATAGTTTATTTGTTCAATTGTGTGGATATAGTTGTCAGGGTAACACTTTACAATAAGGTTCATTAGTTAACTACATTAGTTAACATGAACTAATAATGAACTGCACTTATATAGCGTTTATTAATCTTTGTTAATGTTAATTTCAACATTTACTAATATATTATTAAAATCTTGTTAACATTAGTTAATGAACTGTGAACTAACAAGAACTAACAATGAACATCTGTATTTTTATTAACTAACGTTAGTGAAGATTAGTAAATACAGTAACAAATGTATTGCTCATGGTTAGTTCATGTTAGTTTCTACATTAACTAATGTTTAACTAATGAACCTTATTGTAAAGTGTTACCGTTGTCAGTTTGGTAGTATTTGTGAATCGTGTAGCTACACTTCAGATGTTCCAGCTGCTAAAAACAACGTTCGTGTCCAGTCGAGTGTTTCTGGCCATGAATATATGAAAACAGTTTGCAGGAATGTCTTTGGCTACAGAGAAATAAAAACACGGGCAAGAAATGCTCTGACGAAATAAAGATGTAAACGTGCGGCTGCACATGGCCTTTAATCGGGCCGTGAACAAAGGACATAAATAGTTTTACCGGCAATAAAAGGTATCGTCCGTCAATGTGCTTTCGTTTTTCTTCACTCCTTGTGTCTTTCACTGGACGCTCCACAGTAAAAAGAGAAGGTTCTCCGGTTCTCGGGTACTAGAGATGATCGTAAGCTGTGGTGGCGGCGGAGGGCGGCGGCACGCGGGCGGCGGAACTGTAGTAATACGGAGAACCTGCAGGGGCGACAGTCAGCACTGGACAGTGAGCAGAGATTTGTTATGTGAGCCTGGAGCACAAACACAGTCTTAAGTCGCTGGGGTATATTTGTAGCAATAGCCAACAATACATTGTATGGGTCACAATTATTGATTTTTCTTTTATGCCAAAAATCATTAGGATATTAAGTAAAGATCATGTTCCATGAAGATATTTTGTAAATTTCTTACCGTAAATATATCAGAACTTAATTTTTGATTAGTAATATGCATCGCTAAGAACTTCATTTGGACAACTTTAAAGATGATTTTCTCAATATTTAGATTTTTTTGCACCCTCAGATTCCAGATTTTCCAATATTGTCCTCCTATCCTAACAAACCATACATCAGTGGAAAGCTCATTTATTCAGCTTTCAGATGATGCATAAACCTCAATTTCGAAAAATTTACCTTTATGACTGGTTTTGTGGTCCAGGATCATATATTATTTTGTATTGTAGAAGCTTCAGTTAGCCTGCACTGTAATTCTAATTAAATCAGGAGCTGGAGGGCTAACAGCCGTCTTGTGACTGTGGCATTATTTCTTTCCACAGAAATGCTTGATAGCCTGAAGTCACAAAGAGTTACTAGCAGAAGGTAAACTCACCTCAGAGGACATGTGACTGAAACTTTATGCAATAGTTGAAGGGCAAGGTACTCCTATCTGGGTGTATGCACATGCATAGTGAAAACCCTCTACTAGACAACCATAACCACGTGTGGATGCCCACATTTGCCAAACAGAGAGAAGTGAAAGTGCTCAGAGAGACTGCTGGACGTACCTAATATGCTGGAGTTGGTGAATCTCCAGGCGTCACTGTAGGACGTGTAGGGCGCGTGGCTGTAGGTCTGGCCCGTGTATTCTGGACCTGCACATGAACACGCATCCGTTACAAACACATAAACAAGACAACAGCAACAGCAAGCACACCACTGAACTCCTGACAGCAGACTCAGACTGTTGTCCTGCGTGAGGCGGCTCGAGCTCATCGTTCACTCGCGGTTAGAGGCGCTCGTAAAGCATTAATCCGGTGGGCCGGGCATATATTATTTTGTATTGTAGAAGCTTCAGTTAGCCTGCACTGTAATTCTAATTAAATCAGGAGCTGGAGGGCTAACAGCCGTCTTGTGACTGTGGCATTATTTCTTTCCACAGAAATGCTTGATAGCCTGAAGTCACAAAGAGTTACTAGCAGAAGGTAAACTCACCTCAGAGGACATGTGACTGAAACTTTATGCAATAGTTGAAGGGCAAGGTACTCCTATCTGGGTGTATGCACATGCATAGTGAAAACCCTCTACTAGACAACCATAACCACGTGTGGATGCCCACATTTGCCAAACAGAGAGAAGTGAAAGTGCTCAGAGAGACTGCTGGACGTACCTAATATGCTGGAGTTGGTGAATCTCCAGGCGTCACTGTAGGACGTGTAGGGCGCGTGGCTGTAGGTCTGGCCCGTGTATTCTGGACCTGCACATGAACACGCATCCGTGACAAACACATAAACAAGACAACAGCAACAGCAAGCACACCACTGAACTCCTGACAGCAGACTCAGACTGTTGTCCTGCGTGAGGCGGCTCGAGCTCATCATTCACTCGCGGTTAGAGGCGCTCGTAAAGCATTAATCCGGTGGGCCGGGCAGGTGGACTCACTGGTGCATACAGTCAGACTGCTTTAGCGTCTCTCCATCCCTCACTTCCTCCTTTAGCCTTTCATGCTCCCGCCGCCTCCCTCTGACATTCTTTTTTTAACATTCCAATATCTAATTGGTAATTATGGGAGCCGAATTGAATCCCCCCTTCAGTGAATAATTGTGTATGAACGCTTCCTCTCAGTGAGCCCACCAGAAAAATAATAAATCAGACCCTCTCATTTCGCGCTTGGCAGGGCAGACTTCATATGAAAAAAGAAAAGTCTGAGCAGCTCCATCGAGCTCTACTGCATCTCCTCCTGCCGTTTGCTCCTTAATGTTAATACCCTCTGTATACGCTTTCCATATAGAGTGTGCATTCATTCACAGGGCTAGTCTTTCTCTCCGTCTCTGTGGTGCCGATGGTCACGATCCCTCTGTGGGGCCCCAGCGGTCAGGTTAGAGAACTCCTGGACCTGCTCTACCGCAGCTAACCAGCTACTGATTAACCCACCCGTCCCTCTGTTAATCTCTAACCGGCCTCCCGGCGCTCTCACGCGCTCTGTGTGCTCCTCACATTTGACTGTTTTCAGAGAAACTGTGCTGATGTGAACGCTGAATCACAAAACTAGATTTTTACTTTGAGCTCACTGAGCACATGTTTTATCCAAATGAGTAACATCACAAGCCATTTGTCATCAGAGCCAGATTCACAGCGCCTAATCTCTAAGCTTGAGCAGCGATGCAATGCAGAAAGGAAGACATATGATTCTTTTAATAACTAGGAATCGCAGTCAGAGCCTTTATAGCTGTGGATTTGTTGTGCAGTTGCTAGGCTGTTCTGGTTGGTTTCTAGGAGGTCACTGGCCTGTGCCTCCATTAGACTGTAGGCCACAGACATACTTTGTCATTTGAATATTGTCTGAACTGAACACATCTGCTATATTTCACAACAATTCACTGTGAATTTTGAACTCTAAGAATGAAATGGTTCAAGTTTGGTGGTTCAGACACATCCAACATTTGCAACATTTTCTCTGAACAGCCAGTGTCACTTCAATTAACTCCTTCCCCTAATTAGATATTAAATGTAAGGATTATATCATTAGATGTCAATATTGTTTTCGAGCACAGGACCTCGTGTTATGCCTCATCCAGACCAGAGACTGAGGCCTGAGCCGTATTCCATCCACATCAGAACAGAAAATGTTACTTGAATAATTGTGTTGTTTAGAAAAAATAGTGACCCTTGCCTTAACAAACAACACATGGGAATTCATAAAGCTGACTCACCTGCTACCATCCCAGTGATGGTGGAGGAGGAGAAGCCGGTCTGCGCGGCCGAGGGGATGTGTGGAGGATAACCGGGCAGAATTGAGCTCCCCAGATCTCTGCCTGAAACAAATCCACCCATCCCTTAGTCTCACAGTCCACTGCGATGATGGATGCATGAGCGATGCGTGAAGCTTTACCTGCGATGAGCGGCGGGCTGCCGAACTGCCCGTGCACTGGGGCATGATGGGAAAATGATTGGAAGCCATGAGATAAATGAGTGGCGTTGCTGCAGCTGTTAGCGATGGGTGCTGATGACAAGGTGAGCTCCAGGAAAGCTGCATTAGCGATGATTTTGGGGGAGGGGCTTGAGCTGTTTACCTCGGGTGACATTTCCTGTTTCAGACAGAGTGGGAGGGGCTGTAGAGCTTCTGGGGCGGAGCAACAGTTGACAGACAGGTGGAAAAATGTACGTATGAATGTTAATTGACGTGCAGCAGAATGGATTACAATAATCACACATATGCAAAATGATGACAATAATGGTGAATAAAACAATCAAATGAGTTATGAATTTGGGGAATACCAGACGGAGCGGTTTGCTACTTTCTGTGCCATAAATGTGCCTCTCTTCTTGTAAATATCTTTCTGGTGAGGAGAATAATTGAGGAACTAAAGGCATTTACATGTGGATTACGGTTATTACCTGCAACCACTGTGTATCCCTGATGAGCCGCCAGGTTTCGACTGACAGCTGAAGCTCCTTTAGCCTCGTCCAGACTGCCGTTGATGAGTGAGAGAGGATAGAGCGCCTGCAGGAGAGAGAGAGTCAGTAGCTGAAGGTCTGCGCAGTGTCCGGGACAGATTTTCCTCCAGTACCTGCTCTGTTTTCCCGGCCGTGGTCGGGCCGAACGTGTCGGAGCTGTAGTGGTGCCGTTCGAAGCCGCAGTCCAGGCGCTGGGATGAGAAGTGTTCGGCCCTCAGCTGTTTCCGGGGCCCGCCGCCGCTGCCCTGAGAGTCCACGCTGTGCCGACAGCTCTCCTGATCGCCTGGCACAACACAGGTCAGCTTTATTTATATAGCGCTTCATACTATACTGATTGTGTCAAAGCAGCTTTACAGTGTCAACAGGAAAATAGTGTGTCAGTAATGCAAGAGGACATGGGTGCGTGTGTTTAGTGTCTGTGTGTGTCTGTGCGTGTGTGTGTGTGTTTAGTGTCTGTGTCTGTGGGTGCGTGTGTTTAGTGTCTGTGTGTGTCTGTGTCTGTGTCTGTGCGCGTGTGTGTGTGTCTGTGTCTGTGCGTGTGTGTGTGGGTGTGCATGAGCGTGTGTGTAAATAGGTTGCTTTTAGAAGGTGACCTATCTTCTAATTAAAACAGTGAATTTTTTGTTTATTAATGAACTTTTTAAAATTTCATTTTTCATAAATACCTTGAGATGATTTTAATTGGGTTTATATAATCCCTAAACAGTGTGTGGTAACATGCTAAAGTCACACACAGACTTAAACATTCAGCACGTGAATCACAACAATGGAGTTTATTACTTTATTACTTCACTGAACTGAATCAGATATTATCGGTACGTGTTAGTGGATGTTCATACTCAGCGTATGTCCAGGACTGAGGCCTTTGCTGTCCAGAGGAAGGTTGAATGGCTGTTGAACTTTTGTGCGAATAATCCTTCAAGAGAAGAAAACAGCGGGTTAGCAGAGTTAATCAAGAAGGAAGGTGAAATGTGCACAAAGAAAATTAAGGACACTGGCATTCTGTGGATGAGGTCAGGGGTCATTACCTGTTGATGGAGCTGACGCTGGGCACGGTGTCGCCGTCACAAGCACCCTCGGCCAGCAGCCGGTCTCGTATCTCCCACGCAAACATGGTGGGGTTCTGCCGCTTGTACTCCGCTATCTTCTCCACCACTTTAGGAGTCGCCACTTTCGGCTTGGAGCCCCCGATGACTCCTGGTTTAATGCTGCCCGTCTCATAGTACCTAAAAGAGAAATGACCGTTAAAACAAAACTTACGTGAGTTTTGCTGACTGCTTTCACTGCTTCCTTCTGACACTCGTCTGCTCACTTAGCCCTCATTCATTTCTGCTAGATTCGATCTGCATGCGTATATCATGCGCTGTGCTGTCTATTGTCTTATAGATTGTATACTGTATGTGTGTGTGTGTTTAGTGTCTGTGTCTGTGTCTGTGGGTGCGTGTGTTTAGTGTCTGTGTCTGTGGGTACGTGTGTTTAGTGTCTGTGTGTGTCTGTGTCTGTGTCTGTGCGTGTGTGTGTGTGTGTGTGTGTGTGTGTGTTTTGTGTGTGTGTGTGTCTGTGTCTGTGGGAGCCCCCGATGACTCCTGGTTTAATGCTGCCCGTCTCATAGTACCTAAAAGAGAAATGACCGTTAAAACAAAACTTACGTGAGTTTTGCTGACTGCTTTCACTGCTTCCTTCTGACACTCGTCTGCTCACTTAGCCCTCATTCATTTCTGCTAGATTCGATCTGCATGCGTATATCATGCGCTGTGCTGTCTATTGTCTTATAGATTGTATACTGTATGTGTGTGTGTGTTTAGTGTCTGTGTCTGTGTCTGTGGGTGCGTGTGTTTAGTGTCTGTGTCTGTGGGTACGTGTGTTTAGTGTCTGTGTGTGTCTGTGTCTGTGTCTGTGCGTGTGTGTGTGTGTGTGTGTGTGTGTGTGTGTTTAGTGTCTGTGTGTGTCTGTGTCTGTGCGTGTGTGTGTGGGTGTGCATGAGCGTGTGTGTAAATAGGTTGCTTTTAGAAGGTGACCTATCTTCTAATTAAAACAGTGAATTTTTTGTGTTTATTAATGAACTTTTTAAAATTTCATTTTTCATAAATACCTTGAGATGATTTTAATTGGGTTTATATAATCCCTAAATAGTGTGTGGTAATATGCTAAAGTCACACACAGACTTAAACATTCAGC